ATTCAATCAACCACGGCAGCTTCAGCCCAAGGACTCAGGGCAATGCCAACACCAGCTTGGCCGGTGCTCGAAGCTGCATCGTCACTGGATAAGCGCAAGGAGAAAATACTGCTTGCGTCACCTGAAGGAGATCGCAGAGTGAGCACAGTGCTCGAGTCTTGCAGGCGAGTCTCTGATAAGCAGCAGATATCGATCGAGTGGGTCTCCAATGTTCGGGCAAGTGCTGCCTGTTGACCGATTTGTAGCAGTGTGCGTACATTGAGGAATGCCAATCTGAAGGAGGATCGAGGGCTCCAAATGGAAGCCGATGAACTGGATTGGACCGCTTGGTTGGACCTGGGCTTGTCGACAGGAGAGGAGTGACGCTCCGCGTTCACGTGTGCGTTGAAATTAGAAGGTAAATGCCTAGCAAAGCATGTTGGGGAAGGGCCAAGAATCGGGGGGTTGAAAACTGGGGGGATGTAAGTGAAGTTGGAATGGGACGGTAAGAGTGAAAAAGCGTAAGATGGGGAATAAGAAGACGGGAAGGCTTGAGCAGTAGCATCCAAACCCCTATCCACCCTGTTCGATGCAGCAGATAGGGCACCGTTGATTATGCTCTGCGGTGGCCAGAGCATCAAGAAATTGTTTGAAGGAAAATTCATAGTATTGCGTGGGCAGGATACTGTCAGGTTGCCCAGGCCTAGACAGGAGAACGATTAGGGTTCTCAACCAAAGCCTTTGGTTCAAAAACCTGACCGCAAGACAGTGGGTTTGGCGTTGGGTTACAAGGAGTCCATTTTGAGGAATAAGGTGCCACCCTCATTCCAACCCCCAACCTGGAGGACCAGGAGGCTGAGTTTGTCTGACCTCTAACCATTGACCAATCTGGTATGAGTGGCTCTGAAGGTGCAAAAGCACCACCCAGCATGGTTCAATGGATCAATGAGGCACACAAACCATCGCACCACGGTAAGGTCCAGCCTCATTGCGATGGACTCGCACCCAGTGCAAACCAAGTGTTCATGATCGTCAGGCCGTGAGTGGCACATTGTGAGAGCAGCCTGTCACCCTTTGCATCCGCTGAACCAATGCCATGTGGACCGATAACATCTGTCCACACCGATGCATTACGTCCGACGCGCGCGTTGAAATCACCCAGCAGAAATAGTCAGTCGCTCCATGGTACAGACCGTATCACGGCGGATAGCTGAGTGTAGAATTGATCACGCGTCATGAGGATAACAAATGGTCTGGCCGTACGTACTTATAAAGGTGGTGGCACACTTACCTCTTCCGGGTCGTAGGCAAGCAGTCATCAGTTGCGCGCTGATGCCTGTTGGTTCACCAACCAGCTGGGCATTTAGGTGATGGGATATTGCAAATCCGACCCAGTGATCACGTGGTGCTGGGGCGGCTTTGCCCAACCAGTAGAATGTGTAGCCGGCACCAGCTTCATGCAATTTACCTTGCTCAGCGAGCCGAGTCTCACTGAGCGCCGCAATATCGATGTGGTGACGCGCCAGTTCCATCGAGACCATTGCACTGCTTCGCTCGGGGCTCTCACTCGAGTTCCGGTTCAGCAGTGTGCGTATGTTCTAGCACCCGATGCTGAGCGCTTTGCGCGCACGCATACGATTGCATTGGTGGACAATCGCACGCGAGGTGGCGGTTTAGATTCAGAGGTTTGCTTGATGGACTGCGCCAGGAGCCTTTGGCTCAATATCCTAACCTACTATGCTTTGTAGTGTAGAACAATAGTAAAAGTAGTGAAATGAAAAAGCAACGTGTAGAAAAGTAGTCAAAATAGCTTCGTTTTTTGTTCGATTGTACCTGTTACCATACCTTGCTTTCCATGGCTTTGGATGAAGCGATATACATATATATATATATATATGGCTTGCCGAACAACGACCTCGTGGTGCCAGCTGGGTGGTTCGGGAGCTTACCGTTCCAGCGAATGGTTCGGTTTCTGTGTTCCATGACGTGGTGGGTTTTCGCCTGGCAGACGTTCTCCCTACAAAAAATACATATATCTGTTTAACAACACTGCGACGTGGCGGATGTGGCGCCACTAAATTAAGTCACTGCCCCTTGCTTCACTCCAGTGGAACATTGTATTCCAGCTGCCAGATCCTGTCACCGTTGAGATAATTGGTCCCCTGTTTGGTACCTGACCAAACGAAAGGCGTATGAACCTAGTAATCGGCCACCGGCTGCCAATGGGCTCGATTCCCTGAATTCGTCCCGCTGCCTTGCCGATAGTCTTTTGAGCCAAATGCTCAGGATGGCCGCCCCCTAAGATAACCCCCTACATCGGCCTAGGCAACCGGATAATATCTCGCCAACTGATGAACCATGGAACTGAACTGTACTCTTCGCTATGCTTTGCTCACGTGCTACTACTGCAAACACTCTTCCACCACACGCCACTCGCTTATTTATTCTTTCCCTGTATCATTCTTCCTTGTCTTTGCCTGATCAATCAATGATGAGCAGTATTACTTCCTCCGATATCACTATTGCCGCTCCATCCTCTGACATAAACACACAGCGCCAAACCGGGATGGAACAGTCCCGGATTCGACCCACTTCACTTCTGTACCTGAAGACACAGTTCAACTTGGCGGCGTTCAATGTGCGCACCTTAAAACAGATTGGGCAGCTAGATGGTCTCACTCGCACTCTAGAAACGCTTGCAATTGGTGTCTGTTGTTTGTCCGAAACACGACTTTAGGATTCCAGCACAGTCTACCCATTGTCGTCACCAGTTCACCCTTATACTCGTTTCCACCTTCGACTTTCCGGAGACGCCGAGGCTACCGCTTCTGGGCAAACTGGTGTTGGGGTCGCCCTTAGTGCCAGAGCCGAAGCTGCCCCTCTCAAATGGATTCCGATCAACAGTCGCCTTTGTGCTGTCATGCTACATGGCTCGTGCAAGGTTAAAGGGTGTCGAGAAGATAAACGTGCTCTTTTTGTAATTTTCGCCTATGCTCTAACTGAATATAGCCCAGATACCGTCAAGGACCAACTCTATCAGAACCTACATGATTTGCACTTAAAGGCCCCCAAAACGAACATCATTATTATGGCAGGGGATTTCAGCTCGCATGTTGATCGTTTGTTTCCAAGCGAACGCCATCTTGAAGGCCCGCATGGATACGACAACTTTCGCTCAGACAATGGTGAAAGACTACTCAGTTTGTGTACTATCCACTAACTTTAGCTCCCCAGCACGACTTTTCGCCACTCTAAACGTCAGTACGCTACCTTGCACGCTCCATCATCTCCTCAGCGTTGCTCACAGATTGACCATATCGCCATAAATCATCGCTGGCGTGGCTGTATTCGGGACTGTAGATCCTATTGGTCAACATACGTTGAAACTGATCATGCGCTAGTATGTACGTCAGTTTGCATGCGTTTCGATGGCTCATCTAGGACTAGACAAACTAGAATTAAGCCTGGTAAACTGGAAGACCCCGCTGTAGAATTGAAATATCAAAAGCAGCCTCGTGAGAGCCTCACTTCACTGCCTCCTAGGGATGTTGATCAGCATTGGTCGCGATTGCAACAGATTATGTCTTCATCGGGTTTATCCAGTTGCTGTCTTGTTCGTTACACAACTAAAAGTTGGGTCTCGGCCACCTCCGCGGAATCTCACGACTATCGGCGGGCTATACCCGTCAGGGTAGAGCACACTGAACTCCGGCGTTCTATTTCCCGACAACTGAAAGTGAGTCTTCACCGTGATCGTGAATCCTGGTGGTCTAAACGGGCCAAGGAAATGGAAGTTGCTGCCTCTACTGGTAATAGCCGCAGATTGTTTTATCTCATCAAATCCACCGGACGCAAAATTCATGCCATCAGTCAGACAATCTGTGAGTCAGAGGGTACAAAGATCACCAACCTACGCAAACGCTTGGATCGCTGGGAAGAGCACTTTGCTCTACAATTTATTTGCCCAACACAACCTCCGATTATACACCCACTGCCATCATGTGATCCTTGGTCAGTCTGCATAGATCCTCCCACTGAAGCAGAAATACGGAGACAAATCCAGACTCTGAAACGTCACAAAGCTCATGGCCTTGACAGTCTTCCTCCGACCTTATTCATAGATGGGGGGAAGTTAGTTGTCACCGAAATACTATCACTGTTCACAAAGGTATGGAGCGACGAGAAGGTTCCTAATTCATAGGGAGAATCTGTCGTGGTTCAGATCCACAAGAAGGCCTCTCGTAATGAATGCACCAACTACCGAGGAACCCCACTTATCTCTGTCGCGTCCAAGCTCTTTGTTTCCATTCTGCTGCGTAGGCGCTCAGTTACACGCGAGAGTTTGTGTCGTCAGGAACAGGCTGGCTTTCGTTCTGGCAGTGGTTGCATTGACCAAATTTTCATGCTGCGTCAAATTCTCAAACACCATCATGTCCACCGAAGACCAAAAATAGTGGTGTTTTTGGACATCCGAGTAGCTTTTGCTTCAGTAGATAGGTCGCCACTGTGGAACTGTCTGCTACGGAACAGCATTCCCGACAAGATTGTCATACTCTTGAAAGAGCTGTATAGTCACACGTCTGGCAAAATTAGAGCTTATGGACGGCTTACTTCTTCATTTCCCTTTACCAGTGGAGTGCTCACGGACGCGTTAGTACTTCGGTTTACTAAGCCCAGCATTTAGCCCACACCAACTTCGACAAGAGCAATCAAGGCAGTGATAGAGTAATGGTCCATAGTCCGTCCGACACGCTTGATTAAAAATAAGTACATGCGCTGTAGCTAGAATTTCTTACTGAGCCACAGGCACGTATTACGATGGGGGAACTGGCCATAGCAAATACTGGGTACTTGCCGTCTACTCGTTAGGTGGGAGCCGAGGGAGGTGCTACATTTTCTAAAGAAAGGTGAATCCATGAAGCTGGAAGCTACTTTTGAAGTGGTTTCAGCGCACCATCAAGCAAGTAACATGAATAACTAAAAAAGTTCGTTACCTGAACAAGAACGAACATGAGTCTTACCGTCATCCTCCCTCCGTCCACTTTAACGTTGAGAATCTTGGCCCTGCCAGTAGAGACCAGAAAGTCCTCCACAACGAATCGCTCACCCGGTATAGTAGAGCACTGTGGGTATTCCGTTGACTCAAGAAGGATTGAAGATCTGACAATAAAATGAATTTCAGTGCGATCTTTATTTCACACGCACGCACAAAATGGGGTCAAGCTTCGCACACTATATGACATAGCGACTTGTACTATGAACACTGAACAGTAATTTACGAGGTGCAAATAAGTGATTGCCAGAAAAGTCCCGTAGATTGACCGGAGTGAGGATAAAAAAAGCAAAGGTAAGAACAGACGTGAGAATGGGAAATTCGGGTCCCAAGCGACTCACCGTAGTTTTAAAAATCAAAATCGTGCTTTGTTATCGGAGCGCGGGGTTTCGAGCCTGCATACGGACCGGTCGACTATTGCAGTCTCATTAGCCCACGTGCGGCTGGTGGTGGTTGTGCGGCAGCGAAGCGTCGATACCGCGTACCGGCGTACTGCTGATGCCTTCCTTTTCCGTTACCTTTCGGACAGGGATGGTGAGCGCATAGTTAGGCTCGCGTTATTTCATCTTCCTATCGAAAAGGGCTCTATCACGTAATTCAAATGGGATAACGTGTCGTCAAGTCGTTTTTTCGCAAACCGTTAGTGTTAGGGCAAAAATGACGTGATTCGGAGGGCCGGTCAATGTTCGGGACACACAAAGGGAGAAAAACCTTCGTCGGCAATTAAGTCAACTCAGATAGGTAGACGGTTTGAGCTGGTTAGGTTAGCATTTCGAGTAAATTGCTATAGTTCGCCACAGGCATGATTTTGATTCGCCAGTATTGTTTAATACATGATGAGGTCTCCTCGTTGATGTCGATTTTCACCATCAAAGGCCTGCAGTCTGTGTTGGTCGGGGAGGTGAAACAACCCTCCTAACGAATTCGGTCACACTACATTGTGGAGCTTCAAGCGTATCACTATCGTGTTTGCACCAGGAACGCTAGACTTGAACCGTGCATTCCGCACGAGGCCTCAAGTAAGCACTCAGCATTTGCGGAGATATAGATGGCTCGAAATTTCCTGAAGCCCTCCGTAGGAGTCCAAGATGCTGACTTGCTCTTCTTGAGAAGTGTTTGTCTGGTTTGGAGAAGCCAAGTCTATTCAGCACGAGGAATCTTGACTATATTCTGGGAACCACGTTGCAACTGCTGGTCCCCAAATCGATCTAGGTTAGCTGGTGGCATATGCTCATGACTCTGCATTGCGTTACGTTACGTTGAACTGGAGCCGCTTTTCGGATGACCACATAGAGGCCCCGTCGAGTTTGCTCTGTAGTGCAGTATAATCATTCAAGGTCTTGATGTTATGCCAGATGTTAACACCATCTTCAAATAGTAAGAAGTTCAACTGGAGTACACTAGTAAGTTCGTTGATGGATACTAAGAATCAACATAGTCCCAGTACATATCCTTGGGGCACACCACACTAGATTTCAATTGGAATAAAGATAAGGCTGTGAACTCTCAGATTCAACTGACGTTGAATGAGGAATTTGTGTATGCAACCCAGGACTGGGTCACCGATTCCATAGCTTCGACGCTTGTGAAGGAGAATATGGTGGTCCAGGCGATCGAAAACTTATCAGAAGTCCAGGTAGATGACGCCCGCTCCTACTCTGACATCGACTGATGCTTCCCGCTTTGTATGGCCTAGCAATAAGTTTGTGGCGCATGATCGATTTCGCCGGAATCCGGGCTGCTCTGACACCCTAAAGTTGTTGCTCTCAATGTGAGCTATGAGCGCCTCTGCGATAATACCTTCCATTACTTTCGTTAGCACCGGGAGGAGAGTGACTGGACAGTAGTTCAATCGATCCGTACAATCCCAACTCTTGTCAGCAGTAGTAGCTATTCCGTGTGTCCACATGGTCAGAACATGTATTTCATCAAGTCATCGTTGAAAGAACCGGGTTAACGGTTCGGCAATATCAAGAGTGGCTGTTCTTAATGTCTTCGGTCCTGCGTCTTCCGCGCCAGGAAAGCTGTGCACACGCAAGGACAATAATCCTTTGCTCATATTTGCTGCCGCGAACGATACGTAACACAACCCTGAGGGTGGTGGGAGCTGTGTCAAAAGTGGGTGAGATGAGATTCACTCTGGAAAGTGCGAAGGTAGTGTCCAAAAAGCGAGTTTGCCGCCATTTGTATACTTAGTGCAGGAAAAACGCATCATCAGCATCAGTACACAATAGCTGTAGGTGAGAAGCACACTTCAAATATTTGGAGGTAATACAAAACGATAAATATATGAAGAAGAGCCAAGGTACAAAACATCTACCGCACGTAGCACTGGGATTCAGCGCCGCACTCTCCGGAGCATGTCGACTTGCCCGCACATTATATTAGAGTCAATAGTGAATTGCGTCGCTAAGTCCTGTTGGAGCTGGAGTTTGTCCCCACAGACTGTTAGGAAGGAATACGCGAGTCGAACAAGCCAGGACCCCATCGCCGCGGCCGGCGATCCAAACTCATCCGCCCTGATTGGGGCGAACAGCGGGCCGACCAGGAGAAGGGGCCAATGAACGCTAGGTCGAAGTTCCTTTATTGGCTGTAAGTTGACCTTTCCAGAGCTTTCCACGGTCGCTTTAAATACTATTCATGAACTTTCCATTTTACCTTTATAATGAACGGTGTGATTTGCTAATTCATTCCTGTTGCTCTGCTCGTCCGATCCGGTCTTCTCGCTGTCCTGTGGGGGGCCAGCGACTTCGGGTTTGATTGAGAATCAAGCGTCCATTCAGACGGGGGACGAACACTTCACGGACCAACTTGACGCAGTGGTTTCTTTGAGTTATGCAGGCATATGAAGAAGGAACAATGATGGTATACGAGTTAAGAAACACTGCGTTACAAGTCCCTTTGAGTAGTCTAGTGGGTTATCGAAAAACCTTAATGAAAAATGCACTCAGTAGCTCTACTGTCAAAACTATGGACTTATCTCGTATGTAATGCAGTAGCCCTGTACTCCAACTATTTCCATAACTTCCGTAGGCGAAAAAATAAAGCAAACGTATTCCTCGTGTGTAGGATGGAGAGTAGCTTCAAGTACCAATACGTAAGTGGCGGAGTGCGTCACCAAACCGATTTGTAAATATGGCTAGCTTGGGTGCATAAACAACCGATTCGGGGAGAGAGTCCCATGGTTGGCACACACGAATGGAAAAGAGAATTCTACGGCCCGCCAGACGGCTGTACTTTTCTGCTGATTTCAAGGAGTGGCCTATAAGTTTGCTTTTACTGCTGAGTTGCAGTAAAGAGCGGCACACATGATTTGGATTGTGTACAATCAAGCACGCCATATTTGAATTGCCTCGTAGTCAGCGATACCGCCCGCTGAATACTCCCAAAAGTTTCAGCCTCTGCTCGTATGCAAGGTGGCGCATTCCAAAGATGTTTTTAGTTGTCCGACATTGAGGTTTGTCCAGTGCAGTAAGGTCGTGCTTCAGCCATGGCTGACCGGCTTGGATTGCCTTCTTGACATGGGGGCGAACATACGCAATCGGCATCTGTATGAAAATAGTGGTGTCTAGTTGTCCGAACGCCCTTCATAGAAACCAGACGTGCTGAATACAAGTTTTCGATGACGTTGTGGATTGCTTGGAACGAACCGAGTTATCCTGAACAAAGACGCCAAGGTCGCGTTGGCCGGATGATCGCTGCAGTACTAGCGTTCTTAGCTTGTATGAATAAGTACTCTGGTGTCGTATGGAGAGTACCTTGCATTTGTCCACCTTGAACTGTAGCAGAGTTCGTTTTGACCAATCATGTACCGTAGCCAGGTCACGCTGAAGTAAATTCGGTATCCGCCTAAATCTGGCGTCATAGCTTGATTTCGTCAGCAAACAACAAGAAATTCGAAGCGAGTTTCGGTGCAAAGTCACTGATGAACATCAAAAAGCAGGTGTAGACCTAGAACTGAGTCTTGGGGCACACCAGACTCGACTGGTAGGAGTTCCGGTAACGTACTCCGGACGCTGACCACTAATTGTAGTAGAAGCAGAAAACTGGCGATACTGGAGCCTGGAAAGTAGAATCCGAAGGCCCAAACGATCAGATGTCATCGATAAATACAAGTAGCTCACCTCAACGGCCTTTCCAGTGTCAGCTGACTTTGTCAAACTACTCCGTGCGATTAATGGATTCGTTGTGCACGATCCCTTCACAATGAGGCTGGACCTTACCGTGGTGCGATGGTTGGTGTGCCTCAGCGATCCATTGAGCTATGCTTGGTGGTGCTTTTTTGCACCTTCAGAGCCACTCATACCAGATTGGTCAAGGGTTAGAGTCCAGATAAACTCAGTCTCCTGGTCCTCCAGGTTGGGGGTTGGAATGAGGTGGTTCCTTATTCCTTAAAACGGACTCCTTGTAGCCCAACGCCAAACCCGCTGCCTTGCGAGTAAGTTTTTGTATCAAAGGCTTTCGTTGAGAACCCTAATCGTTCTCCTGTCTAGGCCTGGGCAACCTGCCAGTATCCTGCCCACGCAATACAATGAATCTCTCTTCAAACAAATTTCTTGATGCTCTGGCCACCGCAGAGAATAATCAACGGTGCCCTATCTGCTGCATCGAGCAGGGTGGATAGGGGTTTGGATGCTACTGCTCAAGCCTTCCCGTCTTCTTATTCCCCATCTTACGCTTTTTCACCCTTATCGTCCCCTTCCAACTTCACTTCTTTCCCCCCAGTTTTCAGCCCCCCGATTCTTGGCCCTCCCCCAACATGCTTTGCTAGGCATTTACCTTCTAATTTCAACGCACACGTGAACGCGGAGCGTCACTCCTCTCCTGTCGACAAGCCCATGTCCAACCAAGCGGTCCATTCCAGTTCATCGGCTTCCATTTGGAGCCCTCGATCCTCCTTCAGATTGGCATGCCTTAATGTATGCACACTACTACAGATCGATCAACAGGCAGCACTTGCCCGAACATTGGAGACCCTCTCGATCAGTATCTGCTGTTTATCAGAGTTCCGCCTGCAAGACTCGAGCTCTGTGCTCACTCTGCGATCCCCTTCAGGTGATGCAAGCAGTATTTTTTCATTGCGCCTATCCGGTGACGATGCAGCTTCGAGCACCGGCCAAGCCGGTGTTGGTGTTGCCCTGAGTCCTTGGGCTGAAGCTGCCTTGGTTGACTGGATTCCAATCAGTAGCC